GTGACTACACGAAATGCTACCACCCTGAGAGTGATGATCTTAAAGTGAGCTTACTCCTTAAGTATTTTATTCTAATCCATAATCTCGTTTTCCAAAAGCAAGTATGTGAGTTCCACATTTTAGCCTCCAAGGGGCTGCGCTGACAAGCTTTTTTAAACCATTCATATGGTAATCTATTACGTTTTGTTTTAGATTTCAAAATTAGAGATGGCTGCTAATGACTATGGTGTGTCCAGGTTATTATGACACGGTCGGTTCCGGCCGGAATCCGGCGGCAAGGAACCTGCCGGAACTTGCTGGAATCGGCGAAAACTGTGCCGGAATCGAGAAGAGCTATACCGGAACCGACTCAGATTTCAACGGATCCAGTCGCCGGAATGATCGACCTGGGATAGCAGTTAGTTTCTCGCCGAAGTTCCATTGCGAGTTAAATCCTATAGAAGGATCTTGGGCAGACCAAAACAATTCGTTCGACGTCGAACAGACCAAACATTCCCCACCATGCTCAAATTAATTAACAAATCAAGAATAAATTTCATTGAGAAGGATGTTTCTTTGAAATTAATCAGGAGATTTTCGCGTACTTTAGCTGCTTACGAACGTGGTGATTCTTATGAAGATGTTCTCAAGATATATTTCAGTTCAATGTGCAAAGATAACGTCATTTCACATCGTCAAATTGCTAATCCCAACTCGAACAACTGATTCTATTGGTTAGCACATTTATGCAGTGATCTGTTTCCTTTTTTTGTTAAAATATATTTTATTATCATTGTTTAGTACATACGAAAACATCATTTCTTTCAAAATAATTGGATCTGCTATTACTAATATTTCTTTAAAGCTTAATTAAAAAAATATAACTTCAGAGTAAAGTCAAACATATCTACGGATATTTGAAAAGTGGTTTGATAGATTTTCTAAATGACTAACATAAAGATCTGTATCATTATAAACATCAGATTGCATTAGGAAACAAAAAGAGCGTGAAAAAGGCTGGTAAACATAAGAAACACATGTATGACAGGAGAAGTCGCGAAATACCAAGGAAATATTGAGAAAGAAAGTGAGTTAAGGAAAGATAATACGTAGACTATATCTAGGGCATCTAAGGAGTCGAAAGATGAAAGAAAAAAGTCGATATCTTAATTAGAAAATGAGTTGATGCGTTTTTAATGAGACTCACTCGACCAGTCCATTTGTGAACAGAGATCAATTGTTTTTAATGATAAAGATAATGCACTGAGCGATCAAAAAAATAATGTGCTAGGATCAGTTTTCAATGCTGAATCAGAAGAAAAAACTTTGAAACCTATACTAAATTTTTTCGAAGCCCTATCGTCAAAAACCTGGTAGAAAACCTGTTTTTTTTGAAACCCTCGAGTTTTCCAGTATTTTTAATTTTCAGCGGGAAGAAAACTCTTTATCTAAGTAAATCATACATATTTGGATGCAGCGCATCAAGCTGCATCGGATTCGATAAAATAATTCACTAAAAAAATTGGTCGAGTGTTGCATTAGTCTAACGTTACTAAATATCGAAGTGAGCGTTCTGAGGCGGTGCTAGAATAATGGAATACTGGAATAGTTGAAATAGTCGAAATTTTGTAATATCTAAGTAGTGGCTACTTGAAATGGTCGAATATTTGAACAGATAACTGAACACTTGAATTCAAATTTCAAGTTTAACGCTATGACAGCAATTAAGAGATGCTCCATGAAAAAGTCGAGGATTTTTAGTATAGGTTAGGGCATCTGTGTCAATGAACTTTTCACCGTCACTGTAAGAAACTGCGACGCAGTCGTTCTCGTAGTTTTTCGCAATTGTGTCGCAATCGACGCAGCGGTTTTAGCAGAAATTTCTCATTGCGAAGACAGCAGTGCAGTTACGAATAGTTATGTCGCAAAATGGCAATGCATGCTACTGCGCCGCCATCATCAAAATGTAGGCAACATGAATTACTTTGAGAGAGGATATATCGAGCGATTTTACCGAAAAACATTTTCACAAAACTCACCTGAATCCAGTTCCTCCGTATTGCATACAAATTGAGCCATATAGCAATCGTTAGAGCTTGGTTTGCTCTACACAGCTGCCCATAAGGCGTTTACTGCTTCAGTCGAAATTGAGGAAGAAAAAATCAGAATACTTTTCTCGGTACTTCCACAAGGCGACTCATTCATAGTGCTTTCGTCAAATGCTGTAGTGAGAAGGCGATTGTAAGAAATATCTGCGCACCATTCTGTAGTCTACTCGGTTCTGTGTTGAACGGTTTGCTCTACGTTCACAATTAAAACATTCCATTGGTGCGGAGGATAAACCCGAACGCTGACCAGTAGTACTGACGTTGGCAAAAAATGAATACTACTTCATGTTTCTGTTTATAGCTTTGTTTCAATTCTTTTCACTTTGTCAATCAAGGCATACCGCGGTCGCTGCTAGGCTATCGTTTATCTCGAATCTGGTTACCCTAGATGCATCCCAAATAAATTCCCCACGTCGGATAATTGCTGGCAGATTGTGAAAACTGGCGGTCAGCTGAGGATTTTTTCGGGGATATTCTCAATTGTGGATTTTTTCGATGAAAATTGCCACAATGCATCCCATCTAGAACATTCATTCTGTGCTACTGAAAGTCTATTCCTACGAATTTAGAAACTTCTAAATACCTACTTGAATGAATCTTATCATATAATATACTCTGCTGCTCCTATCCACCCTGTATATCAATTTTCCTATTTTGTATAATATATTATCAGTGTACGATGTGGTGACTAAACATGAATTCTGCACAAAATCTGCATATATGTGAATATTCGGTGTTATTCCATGTCTCGTAATCATACATGGGTTGTACGAAGAAACGTTTCTTAATGTATATTCGTACATTTTTTGTGTTGAAGAATGCACGCTTTAACTGTCGAAAGTTTTCATGATTACGGTTTCTGAGAGATTCATGAATTCTTTAGGATCAATGTGGTCACCAGAAGAGATTCACAGAAAGTAGTATAACATGTGAAATGTTTCTAGACAGAGTATGAAATCTAGTTCTAATTCTTTTAAATTTAGGAACTACTAAAGCATACCTTATTTATCATATATAGGTGTATACATAATACCATTAGGTTGATATAAAAGTGTTTAGGTCGGACCCTTTGACAATGCCGTACAAAAGACGTAATCTGACTGACATATTGTATAAATCAGAGACGAGTAATTAGATCACTATTTTATATCGAAATTTCTACGAATACCGCAGAAAAGTCTATCTATTTGATCATCAGAAATGTATGGCACTTTATGTTTTTTAAGTTGCAGAAATAATTGAGATACAGTTTAAAGAACTACAATTTAGATAAAATAAAACACACTATCTAATACGAAAGAAAAGAAAGAGTAGTTAGTTAAATGTTTTGAAAACAATAAGTATTCGTCTGTTCTCAAATAGAAGAAAATACTCGACTCAAAATCGAAAAAAATTAATAAAAAGATTTTTTGTTGATTTTAGTGTGATTTATTGACTAGTTTCTGCCAAGTTGTTACTTGACGTCATCAGTAGATCACACACAAGAACTTCACAAAAAACTTTTTTATACAACGGAAAAGACCTGTATCATGGGATTGATGAGCCCAAAACGATAGTTACAAGGGAAAAATAAAAAGCAGTTTATCGAAAATTCGACGAGAGAATTACGCGACTAGTTGGTGATTACAACAACGTCGATCTAGGTGAATATTTGAAAGACTTAGCTGCAAATATGTCGTTGTAGATATTTTTTGTATTTCTTCTGTGTTGTATTTTCTTTCAATAAAACCAATCAGTATCAATTACGAGACGACTTTGTATAGAAACTCATCTGTCCTACATACATGATTAACATCTTCTAATTAATTATATTGGCGACGAATTGTCCGGCGACGAATTGTCTGTCCACCATGGCGACAGAAACGAACGCGGAGAACATCTCCTAGAATTTGCTACGGTGCATGATCTCTACATATGCAATACGGGATTTCAACAAAAACCTAATAGAAAATAGGCCTGGGCATCACCAGATAGGATTCATAAGCATATGATTGATCTAATCCTCATCCAAAGTAGATAGAAGACCTCAATCATGAACTGTCGAACTGTTCAGAGTGTAGATATAAACTCAGAACATTCTCTAGTCTTATGCAATATCAAACTAAGACTCAAGAAAATGTCGAACAAGCCAAATCACTCATATAAAGTTGATGTAAATCAGTTGAAAGATGAGAATATAAGACAATCACACAACACTACATTGTTGAACAACATAAAGGATATAGGGCCAACATGTAGTTTGGAAGAGCATTCTGCCAAGATAAGACAGGTTATTAAAAAAGCAGTAGATACAACAATACTGGCAAAAAAGAAAACTAAAAAACCCTGGATTTCCGAAGTAACACTTAAATTTGCTGATGAAAAATGAAAACTAAAACAGAAGAAAAACGTTTCCCTAGAATATACACAGCAACATAAAGACTTATGTCGAAAAGTGAAAAAATCTGCAAGACAGGACAAAGAATGCTGGATAGAAAATCAATGCGAACAAGCTGAAAAGGGACTGAACATTGTTAACACACGAGAAGCATACAGCCTACTGAAAGTATTAAAAAGTGAATTTGTACCTCGAGTCAATGTGATACGAGATCAAAAGGGCATACTGTTACAGACAAAAGACGATATCAAAGATAGATGGACACAGTATTGTAGTAATCTGTATAAAGATCCTGGTGCTGGAGACGAGGTGGTAGAAGAACTAGAAGACATTGCCCCTCCAACAGCTGACTACAACTAGGATATTCTGTATTCTGAAGTCCAAAGAGTAATACGTGCATTAAAAAGTAATAGGAGTCCAGGACCAGACGGAATTCCAGCAGAAATGCTACAAGCTGGAGGAGAACCACTAGCACGTAAAATATATCAGCTCTGTAGCAAAGCATGGCATGAAGGTACAATTCCAGAAGAATGGGGCGAATCAATTTTTGGTACATATACCAAAAAAAGGAGATCTCAGCAACTGTTCAAACTATCGTACGATCTCACTTATCAGTCATACAGGAAAAGTATTTCTAATTGTACTACTGAATAGATTGAAAGCCTACCTAGGTCCTTATCTTTCAAAAGAACAGGCGGGTTTTAGGAGAGACAGAAGCACAATACACCAGATTCTGATGCTTAGACTACTAGCCGAGAAAGCAAAACGACAGGGAAAGAAAATCTATAACTGTTTTAGGGTGTTTTCATGGGAAACCCTCAGCCGATTCGGCGACCACCTCCGATTTTGATGAAACTTTCTGGAATTGTAGAGCTTTTCAAGCTGAACATTTTGATATAAAAATTTTTTCGATTTGACCTTTCTTTCGAGGAGATATAGATCAAATACTAAGAGCCCCATTTTCGATTTTTTTGAAATTTCTTGAAAAATGAAGTGTCGACATTTTACCGAAAAACTCTCGATATTTCATCACACCCTCACCATCGAATT